TCATCTGAAGCTCACGTATTACCCGCACCTGTTAGGAAGACGGAAGTAGGCGGTCAAAAGAGCACCATAAACAGTGCGAAATAAACTATGGTCCAAGCCCTGCATGCGCGCCTGTCGTTGCTGTCTGAGACCATAGTGTGTGACAAAGGCAGTCACCTACATAGGTCTCACGCCAATTTCCACCTGACGTTCAGAAGACACCGACTCATGGACGACGGAAATCACCGGGATGTTAGTCATTACACAACAGCATCAAGTAGAAATTTTCTGGAGCAAACGCTGTAGAGTAGAAGTCTGTGAAAATGTGGTACCAGTTCCATATTTCATATTGTCGAAAACGTATGCGCGCATGGTGTGTAAGATACCAATCAAACATACATAGGGGCGTGTTCAATAACCCGCTAACATATGCTGCATTCATAAAGATGAAGATAACCGTTTAGCTGTAATACTCTTTCGGTATCTGACTCCAATGGCACCCGAAGGAAGCAGGAGGGCTGGGATACTGCCAGATCACCCAAGCGTAGATAGAAGTGGAGAAACAGGATTAACGCACGTAACCACACCATAGTTTGTCGGCTGCCCGACCTAAAACGAACTACTCACATTTTTCCAGCCCTAAATCATCGGTGAAAGAGACAGTGACGAGTAGAACACTCGCAGTGACAAAAGTATCAGCGAATCGCACGCATGCAAGTGGGCCCCCATACATAGTCTGTTTACCCAGGTTTCATTTAGCTGCGCCGCACTACTCCGTGCGTTCGCGCCGAGGCTGTGCCAATTTTCACATGAAACCATACTACTTCTTAGTAGTCGGGATCGGAATCAGGGCACGATTGACAAGAGCAGTCGGACCTCCAAGCTGTCACTAGAATCATGAGCCGCGCGAAAGGAAGATGGAATCCAGATCATTACTTTGAAGATCCGAGCAGGTTATTGGAAAAGGTGAACTTGTGTGACTGCGACACTCACAGTATATCGCTTATTCTGACTAAGTGCAAGCTATTCATGCTGCTAATCACCCACCTGTGACCCAATAGTATATATACTGTTTAACTAACAAGTGGAAGGTTCCGAATTTGAATTATCAAGGTCATCTGATGTGCACTGCCCCTGGGCTTCCCATTACACACAGACATCAATCGTAGCAACAAATAACAACTTACAATAATGCTCTGGTTGTATTAACACTCGCTGTTCGGTTGTCAGTGCCATTAGTTGTCGGACAATCCTGAGAAAAACAAGGACACAATGCGGTGATCTTGTCTTGGTAACGTACACTAGATGCAGGTTCGTTGAGTAACGTATACCGTGTATATCAGCCCGTACCTAAAACGGAACGAATGGGATGACGCTGTGGGTGGGTCGTTACCAAAAACACAAAACATAGCGAAGTTAGAAGTGATCAGCGAGATTCCTTAAACGGACATGAATTGACCTTAGTGGTTTTATGCATCATATCACAGGAATAAAAAACGCGAAAAGTTAACACTCACATGACAAATGACGGTAGCTGTTCTCAGACTTCAGGCCTGTCCACTCTCATGGGGAACTCTCAACGGGAACCGATCGTCTGCCGGTAGTCATGGTGATACGCGTACAATTGTTTCACCGTTCGATAAGACCACCTGCTTGTGCTTGGATTCACGTCTAAACTATGTTGGGCATAGCGTTCAGCTGTAGCACTCTTTTGGTGCCTAGCTGCCATGCCACAAGAAGGAAGCGCGACGGCTGGGATACGGCCAGGTTGCCCAAGCCTAGAAAGGGGAAGTTGAGAGGCGGTGGGATTCGAACCTCGGACCTTCCGGTCAGTAAATTCGCGCTCTTACCACTTGGACGATCTCGCCCCCCATGCGGTTTCGTTGTCGTCGAAACCCGAAACCAGCTGATTAAATTGTGTAGGATAATACGTCGACAGATCTGCATGTTTCTTAAAAACGGCAGTGAAGCATTGGTGTTGAACACATGCTGTCGATGATGAAACGCCTAGACAAAGCTGGACAGTAATTGCATTCAGCCACGCTTATTACCACCACGTGACCTGCACCTGATTGCACCCCATCTTTTAACCAAACACAGGGAGCGCTCTTCAGTGCACACCACCTGCTATTTCTCGCGAGCCCGATTCCCAAGCCCCAATCACAATTCCGAAAGCCTGAACCTCACGTTCGGCTCGAGTTGCAGCCCGTAAATTTGCATGTATTCAGCGACAGTTGCACAACCATCTCCAGCAAGATTCGCTACTGACCATCATCAAAAGCTGATTCATTTTCGGAACCAAGCAACTCTGGAGATTAGGGTGGTCCATAAGTTCACGCGATTCGTCAGGCCACCGACTTCCCTTTGTACGGTATCAGCCAATTACAATGCCTTTTGTTGTCCAAAAGAACACCTGAAATTGACAGAGGACTGACAGGTCAACGCCTAATTTGTGTACATAGATCGACAAATCCAAAAAAATTATCAGACTACGACTCCAGATCATAATATCGTATGTCCCTATCGTAGAAAATAACATCATTGAACATGGAGAGAAGTTAATTAGCCATGACGAAAACTCACCTGGGGTAGCACCGATCTATCGGATATCTATCACTTTCGGTGCACTGCAATTACAAGAATCAGAGTAACCTGACGAAAACTGGGGTAGCACCGATTTATCGGATACCTATCACTTTCGGTGCACTGCAATTACAAGAATCAGAGTAACCAATGTTACTAAACTAAAAATTAGCATAAGATACACAACATAAAGCAACCATATCCGATAAATTCCTCAAGATTGGAAAGCGACAGCCACCCTCCTATCTGAGTGAAGCATCGGTGAGATGTGATGTATTGGACAAGACCTGATCATTCAAATCCAGACATCACCAAACGTCCACCAACCGATAAATATCACAACGAAGTGGCATGTAACTGACATCGGACGATGGGCCAGTCAAAACGGTTAGGGAAGCTGCTACACAACCACGCACCTTTCAGAGAACATTGACCAGAGATAGGTTTGCAATCGAAAGTCAATCATACTGCAATGAGCAGTGAAACCTAATACCAAAATGAATGGTATGGGATCATCACACCTACCCGGCATCCCCACGATTCCCACTGCCTGTGAACGGAGAACTTGAACTCGAAATGGGTACCGCCGAAATACATGTCATCACTTCTTCACAGCCACTGTACGCCTAGTTAAAACGCGTTTTGTCTAATGGCGTCCCTCTGGAATACCATTTGCGTGGTTGTTTGTTTTAACGTTTCGTCAACCTCTCTAGGATCTCGAGGCTTTACAGTACCAGGTCCCTAAACAGTCACATTTGGTTCTTGATTAGGATTCTCCCAATGTGGCAACTAAGCGATGACGCGAACCAGAGGTTTGTTGTCTCTCATTATTAAGAGATACGGCATAGTTAATATCATCTCTCCACCACGCATACAGATCCTCAAGACAGACAAGCCAATTCCAATAGGCATAAGCCCGCACAGAAAAGGAGTCAGGTCACCAGGATACTGATAGTCACACCAACCCGCTAAACAGTCTCAACTGGTGTTGATGTCTCCGATAACGAGTTTTAATACACTATTGCAGTGCTAGCGAAATCCAATGAAAGACGAGTAACTGGTGCCGGTGCCGATTGTTACGCCATCGTGTTTAGGCCCACTGACGGCTTGCGACAGGCCTACCAACATTCATCCCTCCGGTGTACATCGGTGCATCGGGGTCGCCCGCAACATCACATTGGGCTCCGCGAAAACCACCAGTGATTTCCTATTGCACGCAAACGTCCAGTGGTTTGACCACTATTGACCGTCAAATCTGATTCGCATACCAGCATTTCATTTGAGGAAACATCAGCACCCGGTTGCGCGCCTGCAAGTTGATCGCCAACAGATCAACAATCATCTGATGAAATACCGATAAATTCAACCGAGCAAATATTTGTTTTCAGGATTCCTCTCGATGTCTCAGGCGGAAAAACTGAGACTAAAAAACAATGACAACAAAAAGAATGACTTGCTACACACAAAAGATTGGATATCAACCAACAGAAGATGTACTTACCAAGTGTCACGATTCTCTTCGTTTGACATAAGCACACGTATCCCATTAACAGAGCATTTTTAAAAAGTGAAATTTGTTGTACAAGAACAGGAAATCTATGCTAAACTGGAACAAATCAAAAATGCATTTGACAGTGCAAGGGTTACAACTGAAAAGAGCATGTTTTACAGTGAGGCAGGAAATCAAGTGGAAAAAACTGCATTTGAAAAATATGGATGAACAAAGCATTGCTCAAATGGGTACCATTGGTCAAGAACTGCACGGTAACTACAGCAATGAGGTAAACGATCCGTGAAAAGCAGGTAGCATTTTAATGAGGTTCACTTAGCTTTTTTCTCGGCCAACAAGAACGCTTTTCGACCACTATCGATTAGTGAAACAGCACAACGAAATCCATAGAGGCGATACTGGTTTCGGCTGTTCAGCACAGTTAGTGTGATAAAACGAAAACGAGGATGGGGAAGCAAAGTCCCCCGACTGACGCCCATATATTTAGTTCGCATTCATAAATTACGGCAACGAAACATCCATGGTAAACGCTGATGTCATGCTGTCAATGATGTTGATGACAGAAGAAAGCGACTACCTGATTCCAAGCCATGACGATTTCCGATGTTAACAGGTTCCCACCATCTTATCTGAGGCCAAGTAGGTGCTCGTGACGTATGTGCAGGAAAACAGGGCATCGCTTGCTAGCACGAATCAGCCATTCTCGCTGGAAAATTCTCACAATGTTGCGTAACCACTAAGTTCCAAGTTTTAACCACGTCGTTGAAGGGAATCAAGGCCCGCTACGGCACGAACACGCTGTGCCCACCAACCAACAACCAAAAGTGAGTTCTCCAAAGGCATATTATTCTGCCTTGCACGAGATCCGAGATTCTACTTTACATCGTCCACTTCGGCATGTCAAGCATTCTGTCAAGGAACACCAAACATGAACCCAAGGATGGATGAATTTCCGGTATCCCACAGCGACAGCGCGACGTTCGGTGGACAACCACCTGTTATAGAGACAGGCGACGACGAGATGAAAATTTTTGCCACTAATGAAAACCGCTCAAAGTTAACGAACCGTTCAAAGACTCAGAAGCCAAAGTACGTCCATAAAGGACCACAAGCCGCAAACCGCATCATTAATTCCAGGCAATCTAAGGTGAAGTACGGGTGATGAGAATGGCTGTATAACAGATGAAATCAACGGGGTGCGATCTGCTCTATCCAAAAATGGAAAAAAGGTCATTCGGTGGATAAGGGTTTCGGAACAAAATGAATCTTCAAATGATAATGCTTCGGAAGTAAAGTGATCGGCAACAGCGATGTGATGAAAGCAAATATGCAGAGGGGCAAGAGAATTCGATAAAAAAAGAGGACATAAAAGGGACAACTGAAGACTTAGCAACAGTACATAGACGATCCATCTTCACATGGTGATTGGGTATGGCTGTCACGACCATCAGCCTGCGATTGGCTGCAAGCAGTGAGATGATGGGGAAAACAGAAAGACGCTCGATAAGGGCGGATATTGAACGAAATAAGCATTGTAAGTCCCGCTGCCTGCGTTCCCTGTGCCACTGGTGGGACACGCCCGCAGATGGACACCTGCGTTTGCTCGTGATCAGCTAGTCCAATGCGGCCATTGCATACACGACCGTAGTCGCCACTGATCCAGCTTGTCTCCATTAGCTCCGACGATTTCGCGCACCTTAGTTCTCTGGTTCGAAGTTATCAATCGTTGAAGCGAGGAAATCCATGCAGTACGTAATACTCCTTCTAACATCCTGTTTTGTGACTTTCTCACTTCAGATCAATTTCAGTAGCTTCCAATTTCGATCAAGGTGCCCGGCTATCACGTTTGTCTACCAGGATTGGATTCTTTGTACTACTTTGTTTATACAGCATCAGCAACAATAGCATCCTCCATTCCGTTACAGCAAGCCCGCCAGAGGATCCTGCTCGGCCCTTGTTAGGTTCGTTCAGCTGTAGCCTAACTGCCATGTCACCCGAAGGTTGCACGAGGGCTGGGATACTGCCGGGTTGCCCAAGCCTAGACAGGGGAAGTCGAGAGGCAGAGGGCGGGTCCGAACCATGGACCTTCCGATCAGTAATTTCGCGCTGTAGCCACTTCGGCCGTCTCGCCAGTTATCCAACTCAGGTGGTGGACGTGAAAGCTACCCAAGAGTCAGATACCACACCAGTACGCATTCGGAGAATCAATGACGCAAATTAGGATGGATCTACCGCCATGGATTACGTACAGCTTGGTCTCCAACTGCGGAATTCGATCTCTCGTCCCGTCTCTCGAGACTATCGGGATCCCGAACTAGCCTTGGCGGATTGGGAAATCTGACAAGATTCACAATTTTTTCGTAAACAACCGTTCGTAGTAATTCTCGGTCGATTTGGTGGAAAGTCCTGTAAACTCTATGAAGAGAGTGAAGGTGTTTGCGGGATCACTCTTGACACCGTCGCACAGCAATTACCAGATCCATGTCGCCGCTACCGGCATGAAAACCACTCGTGTAATGGGGTAAGGCCAATTGGTGATATGACCAGATGATATTGAAAGACTGAGGAAGTAGATCCTAAGAAGTCTGGTCATCATACGCATAGTCCGGCCTGGAAGCGTGCTTCATCTGATTGCACTGACAATCCTTAGCTATACGTCCAATTATCGTGCCTTTTCGTTGTAAGGATAAAAGCTCTCCTCTGCAGTCGACGCTCGCACGCAGTTTGATGACATCGATGAAGTGCCTGAACTTTGTATTTATTTTTCCCGTAGTTAAAGCCTGTATCTTAGATAACTAGGGTTAATCAGATGCCCGGACGATAAATGGTGGATATCGTAGGGTCGTTGAGCGGCGAATCCAGAGATCGACTCTCCGGACTTTCCGCTACTTGTCCTGGATTCGAATGAATTACTGAACGAGGTCGTCTCGAGCACTTTTTCACTGCCGCACCCAGGCCTTGCCGTCAGAGTGGATAGTGATCATGGATATCCTTTGTTTCCAATTAACAGCTATTTCGTTCACTGACCGTGATCAATCGGTCAGAGTGCACTTGTTCGATCAGGTGTCACCAATAACTGAAACTTCAAGTTGTCACTTCTATCAGTGGGTTAGATGGACTGACGTCTCTCAGCGCAGAGACCAAGTAACGCTGGCACAGTAATCCGACTGCCAGAATACTTAGGTCAAAACTTTGAATGTGGTTTGCATGGTACAGCTGGATGTCAGGACTCATCCGGACAAACTGTCCAACAGCGTCCCTCTTCAGTAAGCGCGTCGTTGACGACCGATAACGTAATTTGCAATCGATTTCCAGAAAACTAGTAAACATCAAAGGATGTGATGTACTCGCAGTCACACTCGGACCAGAAAACAATATCACACAAAGCATGGTCAACGGGAAAACAAAGGTGTATACTGATGATTCGGTTTCCGCTAGCGTCCATCCACTGCTGGGCTAATTGTGGACCAGACGGTCCCATTTATTTTAGTTGGTTTTCACTTATTACGGTGATCCTGCATCTCCAAGTACCGTCCAGAATGCGAATATTCAGTCCACTGGGTGCCGCATGGTCCGGACAATCTGGAAATTTAGTAAGCTTGCTGTAAACCCCGAAAAACCATCCGTCAGTGTTTGCCCGGCAACGAATCATTCAATCGTAATGAGTAGAAACAAAGTTGGTCGGTTGAACTAAATTGAACTAAATTGGTGAAGGAATTCTCATGCGTTTTGTTCATATTTGGACACGTAAAACTAGTGCTTGAAAAGTACCGCATAAACTCCAATTCCTCGGTGACCGATCCTGATTTCGTGAGCGATGACTAGCAACAAAAATAACTCATTCACCAGTAATCACACTGGCCTCGCCTCATTGTGTTCAGTTATATCCCCGAAAATTGGTTCGAGCGCGAGTTCGTCTGGCTTCGGAAGTTTTGATTAAGCTTACTCACATAATCCTTCTGATAGGTGGAAAGAGGTTTGCGTGACGCAGACTATAACGGCACGGTCCACAGCAACTCCATCGTGGTGTTAACTGCTGTCAGGGTTTGTCCGAGCAACAGGGATGGGGTGACGGTGCTCTAGAGGGGAAAGCTTATGACAAGTCGGAGGGAACGGCGACAGTCAACCGGTCATATTCAGGGTCCCGTTGCGCCACGAATGTTAACGCAGAAGCTAACGACAGGGTGTGCTGCAAGGTGCTTCACGTTGGTCTATTCGGCAAATCAAATTACGGTGTTCCTTACCTATGTCAGCGAGACTAAAGTTCGATAGATTTCGTTCAAATACGGGTTGATTGACGCCAGCGACTGCTGACTGTTCCTCGGGGTTAGCATTTGAAGTTTTCTGAAGGAATCTAAACTGTCCTGAGAATTACAATCTGTTCTTCCTAATGAACCCAATTTGGCAACCGGCGATCCTCCCAGAGTTGTGGTACACCAAGTTGCTTGATTCGTGCCGCTCGCAGACACTTGCAGTTCGAAGTCTCCTGTGTCGAGGTCAGCTAGTAGTCCGTTGCTGCTTCATGACTGCACACGCGGGGAAGTGGATAGAATTGATGGTCTAGTTACCGAGCGACACTCGCTCTTAAGCACGTACCGATGAATCAGCATAGAACCTTTTCTAGTCCATCCACCACATTCGATGAGATGCATGGTGCCGTCTTCATCGCCAATCTCGTCTGCACCGGGATGTTACCGTACCCGAGGAAGCTGAGATCCTGGTTTGCACATGTCACCAACCAAGAAGGCTATAATCGGTAGTTTCGCATGAAGCGTTCGCGGTTACGAAAATGCATAGCGATGTGTGCTCAAAAAACTGAGCGAAATGCTCGGGCATTGAAGATATGGTAGGCCTATGACATCCCTTCCAGCTGCTGGTTTCATTGAATTCACGCGTGATCAGAAGCGGAGACCGGTGTAATTCAGCTTTTGCAAGACATGAGTATAGCATAGAGGATCGAATCCTGAACATTTCAATGCGTTACTTCACTACCACCAGAACAGTCCTTTAGGGAAAGTACAAATCCATGTGGCGTTGAATAAATTACGTGACTCTAGTCCGTCCGCGACTAATCAAGGGCTTGAAATCTTTCGGCCGGTTCCTGAGAATCATTCCATTGTGTCCCTGATATTGCTGATGCCAGGAAGTTCACATTTCACGAAGAACGGGAAAAAGGCCTAGCGTAGATATCACAGGTTCTTACAATGCCCGACCCAAGAAGTTCGATCTTCTGATTCAGGCTATGCAAGTGCACTGGATTTCGGCAATAATGAGCAGCAGTTATTCGGCCTACCTCCCGAATGAACGCCAGTTCCCAAGTCCAAGGTAGGCCAAATCGGTTCCCGAAAGTTAGCAAGTCCGAGTCAATTGTGGATGCTGCTGGACTTCAGACATATTGCTCTCCGGATACACAACAGGCTGTCTCACTGTACTCGAAAGGATACTGAATGTTTACGCCGCCGTGTTCATATAGTGGATGACGAGTTAACAGACTTGAAATGCAGTTTGCCGGTCCAAGAGCAGATCGACTCGAATGGATTTCGGTGCTATCACACGCTTACAATGGATAGGCCCCCGCAAAGAATGCTCCCGAAAATAACCAAAAAACTTCGGACAGAGAAACCACTGGGACTTAAAAACGCTGGTTGGACGAGGATACGGAAGTGCTGGAAGTTTATTTCAATGAGCGACAGCAGCTTAACTCCTGAAGACGCACGAGATATCCAGTAGTATCTAACAATTCACCGCGAAGATAGTCGGCCACAGTACAGAAAATGGAACCTCATCCACCTCCACACGTCTAACCTAGGAGTAGCATGTATCGCAAACTGACCGTGTCAGTCACTAAGTTAAGATCAAGCTGGACAAACTCGATCACGAGGTATAATCGGCAGGTGATCAGAACGGACTGAAGCGCTCGATCGTTCCGAACAGGAAAACGAGTGAAACAATAACATTATATTCACAGGTACTCCACAAACAGAACGTGGGGCACAAGATACAAGGCGTAAGAATTTCGTTCGCGAACACGTTTGTCGATGAAGCTGATAAGGACATCGGGGGGGAACAAAATGCATCAATGATGACTACTTCCGAAGGGAGTTTCGACCACCCCTAGGATAGGTCACTCTGGATCCACTGGACTGGAAAGAACGACCATTGGATAGACGATTGGGCTTTGCCGGCGGATATTCGCGTGGTCTTGGGAACCGTGAAGCACCTCCTTTCACAAACCGATCATTCATTCGATCACGGGGGTCACCTGGTGAAAAAATTAGTTGTACACGCCCCATGAAGCAAACTAGCTTAGTACACAATGTTAATTTACACTGAATGCACTATGGCAGACAGACGAATAAGGAAAGTTTATGAACGTCCTTGTTTCCGCAAGTGTAGACCTCCTAGACAACTGATTTACAGAAGTAAACAAGTTCAGTAGGGAACCAAACAATGCATTTGCTGACACCAAGAACACTCTTCTGAAACCCATATAAATATCGCTCGTTTATTTTTTCACACACTATGGTACGTGATAGATGGGTGTGCGCGGCCGCCGGGAATCAGCTGGAACGACGAAACAAAGGTTGTAAATGTGAACACCGATACCTGCCACTGGCGTATTCCTTTCACTAACATCAGTGTCGTTCCTTGGTGGCCGAAAAAGTCAACATGTAGTGAATAAGGTTACCACGTCAATTTTCGCACTCGATTCATTTTAGTTTAGGGCCTGGATGAAACGGTAAACGAGCAGAACACGTGCCGACTGATTCAATGCAAATGCCACATGTTGGTCGTATGTATATTCCCAACTGCCACATCAGTAAAAGCATTAGAATTATTCAGTTAATCTTCATAGATGCCAGAAACAACTGAACAGAGCACAGAAAAATGGTGCATGATAATCAACGGTCAGGCGCGGGTTTGCTCCAAGGCGGAATTTCTTCCCAAAAACATATCCCCTCAGGAAATCCTCCTTTTTTCATCCTGCACCAACATTGCCAGCGTCCCAGAACTTCTATCTTCATGCACTGATCATAAGAGGTTTTGGAGCCACATTACCCAGTAATTTTTGGACGCTCTCTGGAAACTGGGTTGATGGATTGGTTTTTTAAAGCATCCGAAAGTGATACCAACACTCGTACATTCAGCAAATTTACGGATTAAATCGCAACTCCGAGCGAATAGCTTTCGTATGACAAAAACTCGCGTAATGCTCCTGCAGCTCACGTCTGAGTTCGCGGTTGGGGTTCAGATTCCGTTGTAAAGCATCCATGGAAACTGTCAGAGTTCTGCGGTTCTTCAGCGCTGTACACGCACCTGATAAAATAAAATTGACACAGTCATGTGACAAAAATATGGTTCCAGCCATTCCCAAACCATCACACCGCAGTGTCGAGGCGAATTACAGCAGCAGTGAGAAACCGCGAACACATCTTGCCATAACAAACGCCACGGCAAAGCCGAACAGAATATTCTTATCAGCGATTGAATCTGAACAGCCCATCTCAGTAGTACAGACTGTTTCTAGTGCCAATCTACCAAAATCCTGTTCCAAAATTCCAAAACACTTCTCCGACTGAAAGAATTCATACGGTCACTACAAACTCTTCGTTTTCAGTGTGAGCATTAGATCTCTATCATCCCTCCTTCACTTCTTCCGAACTGAGTCCGCTATAACGGTCTTCCAACTGAAAAAAAGCCTCACATAATCCAAAGGATGCATACAGTCCAACGTTGAGGTTGAATCTCATGTGCGTCGGTGGTGAATATTCCGAGCTCTTTTATCCGGTAACCCTTCAGTACACCTGAAGCAGGCCTTTGATCCGTACTGCTACGTCCTCTACGCTGAAATCCGTCCTCTGGACTGTCAATATTTTGTCCGTTTGACTATCAACTGCAACCTTTATGAACATCCATGTAAAACGGTCAGGAACACGTGCATCTCGTAGTTTCTACCTGAACACAGTGAGCAGAAATACCCGGCCAAAAGTGCACCCACGCCACCGCTTGCTTGTGTGACGGCCTTGTCACCGTTATCGCTACCAGCAGTCGCATGTACTCAGACCACTGTTCGCCTTTGATGCAGCGTCCCTTGAATGCCTGGTAGCAGTGTGTAAAACTTCGTACACTGTTCGTGTGATTACTCTTGCCAGAGATTTTTTCGTGTATGAAAACGAAGCAAGCTCTATTCAAAATCAGTTCAAACATTTTGCAACAAACCCACTTCAACTGGTAACAAGTCGTCAATGCGCATCCGCTCAACAAGTTATTGCAGCGGTTCAACGCTGTCCAAATCAAGGGATTTTTACTATGAATATTGCAATGGAAGTCCAGGCCTGGGGATCAATTGGGTCTTTCCTATTTCATAGGTTGGTTGCACTGGAGACCCACTTCATTGACCCTTCGCCAACTTGTTTCGATGGCAACTTTTCTCCACTGCACTTTTCTTCAACCCTAAGAAAACTATCGTTGATTCGGCTGATCTATTGCTGAGTGACACCGAACGTGACTATTGGATCGACGGAGCCAAATTTGCTGGTACGATACATTGATTAGCTGCACCAAAAATATTGTTTATTGTAGCTGCGCAGAAATTGAGCCAATGTTGTAGTTGGTCTGTTCGCTGAGCTGGGCATTGTGATTGCCAGCATTTCCTCACCAAGCAAAGTTACAAGTGCTGTTATGGAACGGGGTGGAATATGGAAGCGCAACAGTGATTGTGCATTTCATTATTAAACATGGTCTTCAATAAGGATCCGGTGTGAAATTAGAGGTCATCGTGTGCTTGTGCCTCGTTTTCTTCTCTTATGCTGTCCCAATGCCCTTTGCAAATCCGGTGGTAAATCTAGTTACACACACTTCTCCAATGAAGCAATTTTAGTCGTTGATGCAGTGTTTCTACAGTACTGTAGAAAACCTTGTGGTTCTCAGTAAGAACAAGGTCAAGCAGCTCAGGGCCGGAACTATTGAAGTGGCCCGCTGGCAGAGCGCGGTTCTTTCCAAGTTCGGAGTTCGAACCGGGACTTGAAGAGCACGGCTCGCAACAACGCCTTGTCCATCTGTTTCAGTCATTTTGAATTAGTTACCGTAACTTACCGACGACACCAGTGGCGATAAATCCTAATGGTACGTAAACCTGCTACTTCGCACCGGGTCAGTAAGCATACATTAGTGATTCACGTGACAACCATTTTGCCAACACACTGATGTACGGTGATCCCGAGTGGGAATAGGCTTGCATCGAGGCCAGAGGCATGACTGACTTTGAACTCAAAGCAATCTTCCAAATCAATCTCGTCACTGTCGGTCAGAAGTCCTGAAGAATAAATTTGATGAGCTTACACGTACTTTCATCATGTAATTCACCGCCGCGAGTTATTAATCAGTCTCACGACTATTAGCTCGACGCATGTTCACATACTTATCAGTCGTATTTGTTTGCCTCATCAGCTATTTTACTGTCCCCCGCAAACCAGTTCCGACAATGCAGCCTTGTTTCCGGGCGATCGGTTCGGTACGACAGTCGGTAGTTGATACAGAACTACAAAAACGGGCAGGCGCAGCTAGTTATCTAAATCAAGATGCGACGGCACATGAGAGCGTGGCTCTTTCTGTTAAATATTTCCGTCAAGATTTGCAACCGTGGAAAAAAGCTGGCACTGCGAAGTAGGGCTGTCATCCGCCACTGAACCTCATCCGAAATTTCGTCCACGCTCCTTTGGAAGCTACTGATTTGACGATTCAGTGAGACGCCCAATCTGGATATAAGCTGGCAAAATTGAAAAGCGGGGCTGTTTCGCTACTCAGTATATCGGCGATGCGCATCTCAGCGGACATGTATACAAATCCAAGTTAACTGCTTCTTACGAAGGCATCAGTAAACTCAAGCAATGTAATGGATAGTGCCATGAGAAGTGAGCATAATGCAAAAGGGAATTAGCAACTCACTACTACGCCCTCCAGGAACACGACTGGATCTGAAGCTATCTTGATCACCAAAGTTCCTGTCATCCCGCCGAATTTGTCGACGATCATAGGGGCTACGCTCCCTTTTACGTCTGGAAATAGTGGTCAGTACAATATAGGGAACTCACTGGGTGGGGTAAACCGGGTACGTCCGCTCAGAAGCCGGCCGATAAGGTTGCCAATCCGTGTTCGGTCGCGAACCTGGACGTCCCCGGTCCCTATGCTCCGCAACCCGAGGGCGTCGGGTCGAGTCTGGGAAACGCTGAGCGCTATCGCGACGAGGGGTTTCCCGAGAATAATTGGAAAACTGCGAGGGACGTCTGACTGGGTGTTCCGCCCGACGATGGATAGGTGAACGCGAGCGGGGCTGCGGACGCCTACCGCTGATCTCAGACTTCCCAGCAGGCCAACGCGGATTATTCTGTCCAGTGCGACGCAACATGTCGGAAACCTACAAGCGTAAACAAAAACGTTTTCATACCACCAATTATTGAAAACTAATAGCAGGAAAACCTAGTGAACAAAGGGCCGCTGACCATTTTACATACCACGATAGCCCCTACGCCACTCACAAATACGTCGGCCTAACAATGTGCGGAAAAAATACCACCAAAACCACACATTCAAATCTAATTTTGACGCCCTAAGCAGGCCTTAATTTCCATGGTAGTATGCGGTACACATCACAGCCCATAGTTGCCATGTGGACTACGGCAGAGAAGCACCGGCGTTAGACACCGGTGTCATGCTAACCCCACATGACCAATAAATCACTGACATGTTTTATGGACGGGCCTATTTAGCAAACTGGACATTGGCAGTTCACAGACCAGTCATTCGTTGGTATCTAAACAATATTCATTTTCCCACACGCCATAAGCGTCCTAACTGAATTCACTGGCTTTATGTACAGAATGGAGGGTTCGATAACAAAATGCGTCTGAAAATGCCACAGGGTACCGTAAGGTGATTCGAGATTCAACAGCTAATAAGCATAAACATTTTGACCGAACCCTTGCGGTTTGCTCAACACCGCCACCTAGAGAATATGCACTGTGCGACCTCCGCCATGTTAGTTTTTGGTCTTTCACCATAAGATGAACCTTGATTATACATGCCACTGAACTCAGAAACCGTTCACTGGGTTTTAGGAGCAAACTTCCTAGTTAACAGAATCATCTGAAGATCATGGATAGAAAAAGAAACGAACCTCACGAACACTAATTGCAACGTTGCAACGAAAAACGGATGTGGCGATCTCTAATAAGGTTTTAATAGTACACAAATGAGCTCTGTAGTGGCCATTCAGCCCACGAGACAGTTTGGAAGACTTGTTTACGAAACTAGTTCACTCGACTATCAATATTCCTCATATGGGTAAACTATTAGCAGTTGATTTTCCCTTCTCGACACTGCCGTAGGTCATATCGCGCACTGCGAAAAAATAGCTACCTCATGTAGCTGCGAGTGGCTCTCGACGCTAACCACCGGCGCCCAACCGGACTACTTGACACTGTTCCTTGTACTGCTTATCTGCATAGTGCCTTTAGATGCGACTTATCCCCGCGAGGTAATAACCAACACCGTCGAGACTGCAGCACTAGTGCACCTTTCAACCAAGCAAACGTAAAAACGAGACTAATTGTGCCGAGGAGCTCACAGTGCCCCCTCTTCAGTTCCTCAAAAAAACGACCGTCAACGGACGGATAAAAGGGATGACAAGCAAGCAGAGCGAAACTACGCAAGCTATCCCAGGTTGCACTTGGAATGTGTAGCTATCAGCTCCAATCAAGGGCTTTGACCTGTTTACGCACGTTCATACCTAAGGCGGTGACCGCGTTTTTATTCGCGGTGAAACCAATCGTAAGTCAATGCAAAGATTCCCTGTACGCTCTCTTCGATAACAAAGTCTGCTGATGCGTTGTCACACAAAACGGACTAAGCAAAAGGTAGCTTAAACTCACAAGGTAACGACTCACACTACCGCAGAGACGAGACCGAAACAGAAATTGGAGCACCGATTAAAACAAACAGGCGTAGAATCGCCTGGATGTCACTACTTCCAAAATCGTTTCAGTAAAGAGTGAATCATAATTGAATTAGACGCAGAAGTCGCAGACTTCCATGTTGTGTACAAACACGTGTTGCAATCTCGACGCTGGGTTTCGAGCGCGCGATAAGAATCTTAGCGTTTCACCGACTCATTTGTTGATACACGGGATCGAGGCTTTTGCCCAGGTTTCCTGGGTCCCTTCTGTTCTTGTCGTTTAGTTGCTGTGGTTCACGTGAAAGGAACAAGTGAAAAAAGGGTGTTTTACCGCTCTTTATTATCTCAGCGCGGGGCAGCACGCTTGCCAGCGAGGTGACTCGCATAAATAACTGTCTAATGGTGCTTTGACCTGGGTTCTAGAAGGAGCGTAGACAACTGTCGGAGGAAGGTCATTCCACGTAGCTACTACCTGAAATGAGAAAAATTTTGCCTGATGAATGTGTGCGCTCTGTGCTTCAAGATATTCTTGCCATGTTTGCTGGGTCAACGGTTGAAAATCTGTTGGCGAAGCCTCTTTCAAACGGGGCATGGGTAAGAAGTAAGTCATCTCAGAGGCGACGACAC